TAAACTTATAAAAAAACACAACCTGGTAACATTTTTTAGGCTATTTCTGAAGGTTAAGAGAACATTTTTATTGTATTGCAATTTTACAAATTACAAAATAAATGTTCAACGAAATTAAATGATAAACTCAGGACAGAGATGAATTCCATATCTTCTAACTTGGGCTCATTACTCTATAGCGCCCAGGTTTGGCCACGGTCCTCAGATATCTCTATTCTAATAAGATAAGAGAAGTGTGAGGCCCAGGAAAATATATGTGTATGTGACTGGTTCCTAAATTTGTGAGTTTTTAGGGTTGCTCAAGATTCTAGGTGCTTTTGGGAATTTGAATTAAGGTCCATGAGAAGAAAAACTTAAAAGAGAAAAAATAAATCATTACTGATAGGAAGAAAGCATACAACTTATTTATAAAACACTTTGTAGTTTATAAATCACTTTCTCAACCATATCATAACTGAATGTGTTTCTTTAGTTATTGAAGTCACATTTAGGAGTCAAAACATTTCAAAACACTTAAAGGCAGCTAGTTAGTATGATCACTATATAAAAACACACTCATTAACCCTACTATTAATTCTTTTCACCAAGGGGAGGAAGTAGAAACTCCTTGGAATCAGAGCTTTAAATTGGAGTGAATGAAACAGGAAAAATCCTTTTAGAGACCCACTTATGTAATCCTTTTCCCATATATGTGATGTTTGGGGTCTGGGAGGGTCAAGCATAAGCTGGCAGGGAGAGGGGAAGAATATGGGAGGAGTTTAAAGGGAAGCACAAAGCTACACTGATGGAATAAAGCAGTTGGCCCGCTTTCTGAAGATGGGTATTGAGAGGGAAAAAAAAGTTCATTGCAGTTTCCCTTTCTCTACAGTTTCTTGCAGTTAGTAAGAACATGCTGGCCAATGATTCTTCTTTTTGTGACCCCAATTCTTTTTATTTTATTTTATTTATTTTTTTATTTTGGTATCATTAATCTACAATTGCATGAAGAACACTATGTTTACCAGGCTCCCCTCTCACCAAGTCCCCCCCCAACACCCCACTACAGTCACTGTCCATCAGCATAGCAAGATGCTGTATAATCACCACCTGTCTTCTCTGTGTTGCACAGCTCTTCCTGTACCCTCCTTCCCCCACTTCTTGATCTTAAACTGTCACTGTGATTATGACAGCTCTTTGTTTAGAGTGTGTCAGTTGGCATTTTTCTGGGCAATGATAGAAACCATATTAACTCCTTTCTCATAGAATCAGCAGTGGACAGGATTTTAAATGTCCCCTTGTCCAACAAGCGTACTTTGTTTTCCCTCCTGTCTTTTTTTCCTTTCCTTCTCTTCTTTCTTCCCTCTTTCTTAATCTGTGCCCTACAACCTCTCTTCCTGTATTCTGTGCTCTAAACTAAAAATAGTTTTAACTCAAGGGTATAACCTTAGGTATAATTTGTTCATCATTGAAATCCTTCTTACTCATTACAATAGTTTTAATATTTCACATTCATTACTGTGTTTGAGCCTCATTTTGAAGCATATAAATTATAGTGGTGTTACTATTTATTTCTTACTCATTACAATAGTTTTAATATTTCACATTCATTACTGTGTTTGAGCCTCATTTTGAAGCATATAAATTATAGTGGTGTTACTATTTATTACCATTTTTTTGCTTTTATTACATGGGGTAACTATAGTTATGAACTTGATGAGCATCCTAAATATTTGCTGTATATATATAAACACACACACATATAGGATCATACTAAAGTTACTAATAATATACAAACTTGCTTTTTCTCACTTAACATGCTGTGAGTAGTTTTATATATACACATGTGTATTCCCCTTATTCACTTTAATTATTGCATTGTTCCCAGTGGATACTATAAGTCATTTAATAAATATTTGTTACCTAGCTTTTGTTATGACAAAAAAATGTTGCGGTGAATATCATTGTATACAACAAATTATTTTAATCTTGTACATTTATCTGTAGGATAAATTCAGGCAAATGGAAATTCTAGTATAAGAATAATCACCAATATTTTAAATGTGTCTATCGCTCCTTGAGATACCACTTTGGTGTTTAATCTGTAAAGATGCAACACACACATACACACACACACACACACAAATGTTGCCATAAGAAAGGTAATTCTTTCTCCATAACAGGCCAAACTTGAAACAAAAATGGTTTGGTTCTCTTTCTTCCTGGAGATACAGTTTCATATACCCAACAATTTTGATTATTCCCTCTGTGTTACTGACAGAAAAACTGTATCAAGCCAGACCACATATAATTTAAAGTTTCAGTGTATGGAATTTTCCAAGAAGACAAGTGATCACTCCGTGTGGTAGCTGGGGTCTTTCTCCTCCTCACTGGGTAAGGCCCCAGAATTTTGGGTATTTGCTCCTTTGTGAACTAATTGAAAACTATGATATCCATTTAATATTTTTCATAGCATTTTTACTATGAATAGTGGACTTTTTTTTATAGGAAGTCAGTGACCCACTGAAATATATTTCCTTTGTTTTTCCTTCCTCTTTCAGAGCCGGACGAGGACTTTATGGCATTGACAGTATGCCAGATCTCCGCAGGAAAAAGACTTTGCCCATTGTACGAGATGTGGTAAGTTACTGTTGTTTAATTTTCTTTGATTGCATGTGTTGTCTTTTTCTTTATTATGTGTCAGATTGTCCTTCTTATTAAGCGTCTAGCCTGTATTTCATAGAATAAAGTACATAAGAAGAAGGATTCTACCAAGTGTTATGTTTATTATTTCTTTAAATTCTGTTAAATGGAAAAAGTACCTCTAACTTTTGACAGCTTTTTCTATTAGTTAAAATTACAGATCCAGTTAAAATGACCTTATAATTGAGTACAAAGAAGTGACACAGCATACCACATGAGCTGCTGCAATTGGGCTTTGATATACTCAGTGTTATGAATGACCACAAATTTAATTTGCAGTTTTAGGCTTAATTTCAACTTCTTTACTGTAACCCGGTAGACTTTATGACTTTATAAAGCAAGCAATAATACTAATCAATGCTTTGTTCTATTATATTCATATAAAGTCTAATAAAATTAGTAAGCTGTTCCACTATCTAAAGAAAACCATGGCTCCCAAGTCATTAAAACCTTTATTAGCCCTGCACTTAACTGAGTAACTCAAACTCACCTGTAACACAATATGCCGGGAATCACCTAAAGATTTCAAGACTTGATCTGCATTAGGTTATATAAAAAAACGGCCCATCAATGTAGAAAAAAATATTTTCTATCATTCAGTATGTCCTCACATTTTTCTGAAGGTATGTTCTTAGTCGTTTATAACATGGAAATGTATTTCCCCCAGAAAAACATTAATTTCCCTTTTAGCAACAATGTACACAATTCCTTGATAGCAGTAATTTTTTATTTTGTTATGAAAAGCTGTCTGGAGGCCAGCACTCTGTCAACTAGGAAAGATAAAATTTTGATTGAAAAGATCTTATACTGGAAAGCATGACATGTCTACAATTAGTTGATTCCTGCCATTATAGTGTGAACATTATTTTAAAGTGTTAGGCTTATTTATTATGGTTTTACTATTTTCTCACCTTTCTGTCTAATTATTTACACTTTGCTCTGGCACTTGGAATCTTCAGGCCATGGTAAGTGAATTTTGATTTATTAATCAACAGGTACAAATATAGATTACAATAGGATACAAACATAATTTTAGGGACAATAGTTTTCAGAGATGAGATCATCTTGGGCAAGCCCTTGGAGTTAAGCCCACTATATGTTTACACTGCAGGGGTGGAGATGGGTGGAGAATGACTTCCTCACTTAGGATTATGCTGAACTTTATCTGTGTTCATGGCTTTGTAGCTCCAAGGAAATACATTTATGACCAGGAGCATTATTCCACTACGACTTCCTCTGGTCCTAATGGGCTATTCCCATATAGAACTTAGGATCTCCTTGTGTAAAAGTTCTTTACAGCACTGCTGAGTTTATTATATTGCATGTTTCAAGTAGGAGCTGTACAATGGTTCTATTTTACAGTGGGGAAATTAAAGGGTAGTTTGACTCTTATTTAAAGTCATCTAAGTTATCATCATTGAATTAAGGAAACAAATCTGAGTATAATCATTCTCATTTGATAAAATGGACACTTAGAAGAAAATATCCTGGCTAGATATGGATGAATATTCAAGGAAACTGTGAACAACTCAAGAACCATCTAGTACCAATTGTGATTCAGAGTTATCACACAGACCAGCTGCTCTATATCAGTGGTCGCATTTTATGAAGGAATGTGATCATGACCACCTTGAGAATAAACAAAGCGTATTGCTAGCCTGGAAACCTTGGGCTGGTCATCCCACTTTGCTGGGCCTGCTTTCTTGTCTGTAACATGTAGGGGCTGGGTTTGATGACCTAAGAGGCCTTTTCAGCCTTAATATTCCATGCTTCCACATTCTGGATGAACTAGCTGAATGATGAAAATGGCAGGCTTCTACTGAATAAAACTTGGATATTGACAGTATACAGTTCTACATTTTCATATTTTGCTGAGAAATTTGTACGTAATAGCCACTTCATGTACCAAAACTCATAATTCTGTTTATTTTAGACTCTGGCTGCCCGGAAATCTGGACTCTCCCTAGCCATGGTGATTAGAACATCCCTCAACAATGAGGAGCTGGTAGGTGCAGAGTCAATTACTCAGTGTGCATTGATCATAGTAGAGAGGGAAACCATTTTGCTTGAGACACTCATTTGTAATGATCTTTCCAAAATTCCAGAAACAGCTGGGAACATGGGGAAAGCCTGACCCTAAACAAATTTCTTCAGGGCCTTAGCTTCACTATTATACAAGTTATCTTCTGCTGCTCAGACATGCATGCACATACCCATCTTTACAAATGCTGTTCCATCCTAACACAGTTTACCTGTTATTCTCCTCCTGAAAAATCCTGCTTCATTTTTATATAGTTTAAGTTTTTCCCCCTTATGTGAGGCTTTCCCAAACACCCTCCTCCCCTTCTGGCTGAATTATTAGTTCCTTCCTCCTGGATTTTCTAGCATGTAGTCACAATCTCCCTAATGTAGTATGGCTAAGAGTGAAGGCTTCTTGGTATGAGTCCCATCTGTACCACTAAATTAGCATTGGTATAGTTGGCAAGCTATGTGACTTCTATGAACCTGAGTTCTCTTATGTAGATACTGAAGTAATCATAAGACAGATTATTTGCTATTATTATATAATTATTATATTTTAATAATTATAAATAGAATAAATATAAAAGTAAATTTTTAATTAAATTTACAAACAAGTATCAATAAATTAACTATATATTTAATACTAGAGAAATTGTTTTAATATTTAAAAAATATTTATTGTAATTATTAATTATATTATTAAGGCATAACCTAGAGCATAGTAAATAATAAATATAAGCTGCTGTTTTTTTTGTTTTTTTATTATGATTAATTTGATTGTTTTGCATAAACCTTTTCTTTTAGACTCTGATATCCTTGAGGGTAGCACTACATCTTGTTTGTTGCTCTTGTTAAATATTTTCATCCCTACTGCTTGGTACAGTGTCTGTTACGAGGTAAATGCTTTTTAAGTTCTTGTTGAATGAGAAAATCAATGTGATTAGAAAGTACAAGTAGGCTGCAAATATCCAGGACAGGGATTCTTATATTTGGCTCATTAGAATCACGCCAGAGAGCTGCAAAGCATACTGATGCCTGGGTCTCACTTCCAGTGATTGTGATTTAAGTGGGTTCAGGTGTAGCCTGGGTCTAAGGGGTTTGTTACAAAGCTAACGTGCAGTGGATGTGTGCCCTGGTAGCTCCATCCTGCACAGCCTCTCAGCTGGAGCTTTCACTCAGGACAAGTTATGTTTCCTCCCTTATGGGAACTAGTACAGTCAGCCTCTCCCAATTCCATCCCCTTTGCCATTCCTATGGAATAATTTTTTTCCAGTAATACTAATTTACTTGTTTTAGATTTCTGTACAGTTGACATTTAACACCATTATTTATATTTGTTTCTCATTCTCACCTCTGCCACTGTCATCTTCCACACAAAAGCCATCCTTTTCTAGGTCTCTATCAACAAACTCACATCAGCAAAACAGTATATGTCCATTTGAATATCTGAATGCTACAGCAAGTTAAAACATTTTCTGTTGGGCCAAAGGATTTTTAAAATGTGTCTGCTTTCCCAGCATCTTATTCTTATCTAGTAGATTTATGATGCTCTGTAAGATTTTGGGTATAGTTTGGATGTAAGAGAAAGTAAACATCCTCTGGTGCATAAGAAACCCCCATATTGTTTGCTGAATCTCGAAGTGTATAGTGTTTTGCTTTTGAGGAAATAATTAAGGTTGAGGGTTTTTATTGATAAACTCCTATACTCTTCCTTTCTTATATTTAATATATTGTGTTTAGTTTCAACTACAAATATCCATTCTTATGAGAAATTATAGGAAAGCAGTAGAAATTAGAAGCATGCCATTGTATGTTCTGAGGCCCTGAACAAGGAACAAACCCTCACTTTATGGTTAAATTAGCTATTGATCTACTTTTCAGCAACTTTAAAATATCGTTTTACTTCTTTAGTTTCTGAAGGCCTGTATAAAAGACTTTTCAGTGTGGGTGTTGGGTGGATGAATAGAGTACATCAGCTCCCTCTAAAATTATTAAAATATAATTCCCTGGGGCCCAGTTCTCAAAAAGTAAATGAAATATGACTTCTATACAACAGGCATGTTAGATGTCACATTGATAAGCTGTCACATTAAGTCATTACATAGGTAACTAACATAGATGCTGAAGCAAATGATTTCTGCTTCTTGGTGCTAAAAGCCTTCCTAGCCACCGTCAATGTGAAAGCATGAAATATTTGCCTTTACATGAAGGAAAGCGGCTTGGCGATGTGGAAAATATCGAATGGTAGCACTTCTATTTTAATTAAAGAAATGAATGGTAAAAAGCTCAGTCATTTCTTTCAAGGAAGGAAGGGCTCTAAAGTTGATGAGAGTTGACAGTGGGTCAACCAGCACCACCTCCCGTAACACTCTGTTGGCAGTGGGTGAAGGTTTCCCCATCCATCACCAATTCCCACTCACCCACAAGGAGCTATTAGGGCTGATTGGGAATATCAGTCTAATATGCCCTTAAGGACTAAGGTTTCTGAAGATTTCCATCTGGTTTAATGACACAAGAGGAGATAGCAACCTAGTATCCATCTACCACAACAATAGTCTGCCTAGCACTGTACTGTCCAGCTTTGTGGTTGCTTTCACAGAGTGAGAGTTTCCTAGGTGTGGACCCAACAGTGGGGCAATCAAAGTAGAATCATTCAATAATTCAACAAATATCAATTGACTATCTACTATGTGTCAAGCATTGTTGCCAATTCTGGAAATAAGGCAGTGAACAACTAAGCTAAAAGTCCCTGACTTCCTGAGGCTCATAATGTAGAGGGAGGGGAACTGAGGTACTATGTTTTGTACCCACGATTGCTATAGGTCATGATGGAAGCTTCTAGAAGGCTGGAGTATTTAAGGCAGTCTTAGACGAGGGAAATGCAAGTTGAGTGAGGAATACAAATCACCAAGCCTAAAAGGAATTCTAGAACCCTGTTTGGTCTGTCTGGTTTAATGACCATGCTTAGGGGCTGGTTTAATGGGATGCTTCCAGGAACTGTCAATTCTAGGTAAGGGTTGGTTTGTCGAGGAGAATAGGGGTCCTTCTTCAATAACAGAATTCAGGTCCAGTGAAAGGGGCTGACAGCACCAAGTGTGGGAGTAATCAGATCGGACCTGGGCTCTGCTCCTAGCCTGGCACTAGGAAATAGACATGGAAAGAAGAAGCAGATCAGAGCGCCTTTCTGATGCCTGGGGTCCAGTCAGGAAGCTGCAGGCTCACTGTGCACCAGGTACTCTGGACACCACCTTTTTAAGCCACATGAACCAGTGTTGAAGTGACATGGGCCTCAACCTGAATCTCAGTTTCACTTCTTATTACCTCTGAGAACTCATTTCTTATCAATATTGTTTGCCTCCCTGAGACTTGTTCACTTCATCCATATAAGAAAAGTAATAATACTTATTTCAAAGTCTGTGGGAGTTAAAAGAAATGTCTTGCCAGACACAGCAGGTGGCAGTCAGGAAAGTGGGGCAGGGGCTCGGGGATGAGATACCCAGAGTACGTGCTGAGTCCAGTGTCTCCCTATCACCTTTGCAGCTGAGGGTCAGATCCCAGGGGGTACTGACATGGGAACCAGCAGTAATGACAAATTATTTTAAGGAGTTTTCTCTTGTTTGCAAGCATTGCTATTTGTCCTGCTTTGATTGCCCTTCAAGAGCACAGTGTTTGATTTGAGACAGATGTGGGCCCAGATCCACCACTTACTAGTTGTGAGACCTTGGGCAAGTTACTGAAACTCTTCTGGCTTCGATTTTCTCATATGTTTGCTAATTATATAAGATTTTTGCATTTATATTCATAAGTAAAATGGCCTGCTTACTGTGTCCTTGAACAATTTTGGCAGAAACAATAAACTAGCTTCGTAATATAAGTTGGAGAAGTTTTCATTTTTGTCACTTCTCTGGGTTGGTTTGTGGAAAATTAAGTGCTGCATACCTTGAAAGACTGGCACTCTTGCCTCTAAGACCATCTTGTAATTTTTTTGAGTATGGTTATTTGACCACTGAGTCAATTTATTTAACAAAATAATCCTATCCATGTTCTTTAAACATTTATCTTGAGTCAGTTTTGATCATTTATGTTCTTTCCCAGAAAGTTGTTCTTTTTTCCTTAAATTTTTAAATTAAATACCATCAGATCTTTTTATGTAATTTATCATGATTTACAAATGCTTGTGCTGTTTTCATCTTATTATTTATTTGTACTTTTCCCTTCTTTTGTAAAATCAACACTGCAAGAGATTTCCTGGTGTTTATTTTATCTATACTATTTCTTTGTTATCAAGTTTGTAAATTTTTGCTCGTCTTACTTAGATTCATCTTCTATTCTCTTTGTATTTATCCTGAAATTACTTTTCTGAGTTGAATATGTAGTTTGTTCATTTTGATTGTTGTTTTTAACATTTGCAAAATAAGTGAAGGGAATAAATAGCAACAATACATACATCTGTGTATCTATGACTCAACTTTAGAAAGAGTCAGCTTTCTATCTCTTGTATATTCCTTCTTCATTTTCTTCTTCCTTCCATCAGAGATTTTATGTCTCTCACTTTCTTGCTTTTGTTCACATTTTTACCATTCTTGTATATTGTAAGTTAATTTCCTTCTTCTTTTCTACCATATACATTTAAAGCTGTTCATTTTCGTTTCAGTACACTTTAGCTGCATCATACATATTTTGATATATAGTGCTTTTATTGTAGTTGAGATATGAATATTTAATAAGTGATTCAATAATTAATATTTTGCCTCATCAGTTTAGAAAGTATTTTCTTTAATCTTCCAAAGACTAGACATATGGGCCTAATTTTATTACTGCATTGTGTTCAGAAGATATAGACTGTATATTCAGTCTTTAGCATTTAGTTTACAATTATTTTATGACTTAGTACATAATTTTGTAAATATCTATATGAGCTTTATCTATTGGGTACATAAATTTTGGGACATCTATATTTTTGGTAAACTGTTCTTTTCAATT